GCTATCATGTCTATGTTCTGTGTGTCTACTTCTCTACCTGAGAAGAGAAATAAATGCACTGTGCACATGCCATGGGGATTAAATGTAGTCACACCTCGAAATCACTTGGGATGATGAATAACCCATACTCACCTTTGTCAAATCATTAGCTGGTTTTATACTTCTTGTAACTAACACAATAGCTATCCAAACATCCAGGGCTGCCAGAGTCAGTCTGAGGTGAATGTGGGTTTGGATGACTTTCCTAGGCAGTGTTTAAACTTCATGGTAATACTATCATTTTATGTCTATCTTTGTACTTGCATTCTTCCCTACAGAGTAGAGAGAGGTGTTCTGAGACTTAAAAGCTGATTTTTTACATCTATTTTGATTAATAGAAATCGCTGAGTAGAGGTGCTGCTTACTGAAACACACTGCTCACTTCCACGTAACTGGGTAGCCTGACGGGCTGCTTAGTAGTGTAAATTCCTTAACAAGGAAAACACCAATGAAAATAACTGCTCACTTGTTGACACAGCCTTTTCTTAGTTTTCAACTCTCCCCTATCTTTTGGTTCCTGAAAATATTTGACTGAAGGGACAATGATCTTCTGGAGGGAACTTTTAAAGAATTTTAGATCATAGGAGGCTTCTCTGAACTTTAGTGCAAATTTTAATTAGCAGGAGAACTGAACCGGATGAATTTTATCATTGTAAAAAAATGAATGTGGTAGGGGTGTATTTTCTGAGTAGGCCTCTGTCTTAGTCTGTTTTGTGTTGCTATAAAAGATTACCACAGCCTGGGTAACTTAGAAACAACAGAACTGTATGTAGCTCATTCTTATGGAGGCCAGAAAGTCCAAAATTAAGAGGTCACTTCTGGTGAGAGCCTCTTAAGGTATCATATGTGGTAGGTGTCACATGCCAACAGAGGACACTTGGCTGAGAGAAATTCACCTATACAACAGACTTACTTTTGAGATAACTCACTCCAGAGATTACATTAATCCACTTACACTGGCAGAGTCTTTATGATCTCTTCACCTCCTTTAGGTCCCACTTCCCAACATTTTTACACTGGGGATTAAATTCCCAACACGTGAACTTTAAGGAAGACATTCAAATGATTGACAGCTTCTGGCATGAAGATTGATTATCCAGGATATACTGTTGGGTCTAAAGTGGCACAGGAAATTATTGCTCCTAATTTAGAAGATTTCAGCTTGCTTGCATTGCAACATGAATGTGATCTTACATTTAGTGTTGCAGTTCTGGCGCCATTATCAGACTGCATTTTCATAGTGAATTACAAACAAAAAATTTTATGCTACTTACATTTAATGAAATTTTAATAAGGCTGTGTTTTGATGTTATTATTCAAATAATGTATTCTGAATTGCTTTCCTTTGAATATATTTGCATTAAAGAGGAAATCAATTTGATTTAGTTCTTTGAAGAGTTTACCCACTTTCTGGGTAGCTTTAAAAAGAAAGAGAAATTCTTTTTCCTTGCAAGGCAGTAAATAGAGAAGAAACACATTTAGCTGAGATCTGTAGAAGTAATGGCAGCAGATTGCTGATAGTTCGAGTTAATGAAATGACTCATTTTGGGCGTTAGAACTGAACAATTAAAAATATATACGCAAACTGCACACATCACAGATTATAAAGGATGATACCTCTGTTTTCTTACTGAGCCCTAAGGGTGATCTATTAAGAATTAAGAAATGAAAGGGATCCACATTATTGCAATTCTTGATCATTGATGCTGAAAATTAAATGGTAATCTCCAGAGAACATATTTCTCCGGTTGCAGCATTCTTTAACAGCATTTCTGTTAAAATTCTGTTTGTGGCCCAAGGAGCCTGCAACTTGGAGAGTATAACTCATTTCAGCAGCCAGGGCCTCTTCTGCTGTTATACATGGAAGAAGTTGTTTTGGCATATGTTTTGTGTCGCACTTTTCTCGTACTTGTCTAGCTGATGAAGTTTAATGTAGAAAATAAAAATACGGAGACAGAACAAGTCCTGCTTTTGCAGCAGGCCCGTTTTACAGACTCTGGGGGTGGCACAGAAAATAACTGGCTTTAATGGTCAGAAGATAAAAACTTAAGCAAGGGAACTACAAAAAACTTAAGGGTCCCGTGGGCCTTTTTTGTCCACATGTGTAGAAATAAATACTTTTTCTTTACCTTCCATGGTCTTACCTTCTTCATCTTTCTCCTACAATTATTGAGTCCCCCCCATTTACAAGTACTCCTGATTTTAAGACTCACTACGGTCTAAAAGCTTGCCTAAGTTTATATGGCCCCAGACCTAGCAGTATGCCTGGTCAGGAGTTTTGGTTCTTTTTATATGTAAGAACATGCAAATTATTAAAATGATTGCTCAAGGCGGGCATGATAGCGCATCACTGACGAGGCTGAGGGAGAAGGATCGCGGTGAGTTAAAGGCCAGCCTAGGCTACACAGTGAAACCCTGTATAAAAAAAAAAAAAAATAAAAAAAAATAAAAAATAAAAAACATGGCCGAGGGTATGGACGTGGGATGGTTGGGGGTGGGCGTGAAGCTGTCCTGAGAACCCAGAGAAATCTGTGGCCCGCTCCCCTGGAGAATGCTCCTGAAAGAGAGATGCGTCTGGGAGGAAATCAACCCGAGACAGTGTTCAGCCTTCCTCTTAACCTTGACAGCGTTTGTTTATTTATTTATTTAGGCTTTTTCTGTGAGACAGGGTCTCACTATGCAGCTCAGGCTGTTCTTGAACTCACTATGTAGCAGAGACTAGCTTTGAACTCTGATCCTCCTGCCTCAGCCTCCCGAGTGCTAGGATTACAGCGTGTGCCATCACGCCTGGCTGACAGGCACTGTTTAATGACAAGAAGATGAGTCCACCTAGGGACACCTCTTTTGGCAAGACAGGCAGATGCCCTCTAATCTCAGCCTGGCAGTTAGGACAACCACGTCAGCTGCCAAGAGCGACTCCCCGTCCCACTGCTCAGGGTCGCTGGGGTGGAGGAACCGGGTCTGAGACTGCCCGGCTCGTACTTGTGGAGCTGCTGACCCCAGCTGCCAACGCCGATGCGTCGTGGGCTGTGAGGCTCGGTGGAGTCCCCAGCCCGTCGTCCTCCGGTTGAACTTGGTAGAACCCGCAGGCCCGCAGGCCTCTGGAGACGCGCTGCAGCCAAGCCCGGCTTCTTTCTGATTTTCTTATTTCCGGTCTGGGAAAAGCCCCCAACTCCCCGGCTTCCCATCTCAATCCTGCCTGGCCCTCACGGCCTTCCAAAGCCCTTCCAGAATCCAGGCAGCTTCCCGACCCCCCAGCCCAAGCTGTCTGCCCCCGCACCGCTGATCTCGGCTGCACTTGCGGCGATGGCGGCACCGTAACCTCTCCGCGCAGCACTCGCGGCTTCCCGTTCCCTCTGCGCTGTGATTACAGAAGCCCTCACGCCTGCAATCCCTGTAATTCCCGGCGGCAGGAAAGCTCCGGGCTGCGCAGAGAGCCTGGTCGGGGAGCTGGCCGGGCACACACCAGGCTCTGGGATCAGAAGCCGTGCTGCTATCCGACAGGCCGGATGTGCCCTTCTCAGAGTGGCCCGCCCTATCCACTGGGTCAGGGTGACTTTGCCCTCCGAAGGCTGGCGCCTGGGTGTGCAGCCTGGAATGTCACACAGGGCCCGGCACTCAGATCGTCACACGGGGTCAAATGCCCTGCTGTGGCCATCTTGAAACTCGTTAATGTTGAGCAAAGGCCCACATCTTCCACTGGCACCGGGGTTACTTCGGCGCTTCATTTTGCATCATCAGCCACCTAGAAGGCGCCTGCCCTTGCCCACTCTTCCCCTTATCCGGCGAGGCGCGCCCTGGAAGGCTCGGATAGAACCTGCACTCACTCATTCATCCTGCGTCCCGGGCAGGCCGGTGAGTGGGGCGTCCGTCTCGCCCTCTGCATCCTCCCCATAAGCACACAGGGCAGCCTTCTCCTAGGTAAATGGGCCTCCTCCAGAGCCCAGAAGGGCCTTGTACCTCCCTCGCTTCCTGGCTGCACACGCGGTGCACCGGCCTCCTCTGATTCCTCCAAGCTCATTCCGGCCTCACACCGCGGGCTGTCTTCTAAACTTTCCTTCCTCAGCTCCACCGGGCTCAGCTTGGAGGGGCGCCCATGAGCGCCCCGACGCAGGTGGCCTCCGGTCACACTGTTATTATTATTACTTTTTCCTCAGAGTAAACGAAAAGCTGAAGGGCACGTTTATTAGTTTTAGCAGAATACAGCAACAGGTGGCTTGTAAACTGGCGGGTGAGTTTTGTGGTTTGGTTAGCTCCAAAGTATTAGGCATTTTTTTTTTTAATCAACGGATACATAAAAGAGTATAAAAATTTTAAAAGTTTAAAAAGAAGAGAAAAAGAAAAGATTGTCATGTTGTCTTCGGAATGTCTCTTTTAATGCATCACTGCGGAAATCTACTAGAAAGTAGTAAACAGCTTCAGCTAGGGAAAGGAAGGCACTGTATGTGGCTCGCCTTTCTGACGGCACCAAAAGCAAGTTTTTCTTGTTTTCAGCTCAGTTTTAAGAACCCCTGAAGTCGCTCCTCAGTGACTTTCTGTTTGCTTCTGCGCCGTGTGTGGTGTCATTCAAATCACAGTTCACAGGGGCTGGGGATTTAGCTCAGCGGCAACGCGCCTGCCTGGCAAGCGCAAGGTTGTGAATTCGATTCCTCGTACTGGAAGAAAAACCAAAACAAAAAAAAGGATACTCAAATACAGTCTCTTTGCAGGGCATGGTGGCGCACGCCTGTAATCCCAGCACTCAGGAGGCTGAGGCAGGAGGATGGTCACGAGTTCGAGCCAGCCTGGGCTACAAAGTGAGCTCAAGACCAGCCTGAACTGCACAGCGAGACCCTGTCTCAAAAAGACAAAAAAAAAAAAA